TATATATACACACACAACCGCTTCCAACACCGCCAGACACACCTCAATCTCCCTCTCATCGAAGACCTGCAGATTGTCCAGTGGCACGATACAATCAAATCCCTTCAGGAACGCGGCTGTCTGATCTTTTGTGTTGTGTGTGAACGCCCACTCGGCCACCAGTTTCACAAACTCGTGCTTGTTGGCATCGGTCACATCGATGTTGTCTCCGTCCTCCTGTGAGGTTGTAGTCAGTGTGGGGGGATGGGCTAATGAATTATGGTGGTGTTTATTGCGAGCGGTGGGTTGTTATGGTAACCAATGCGGCGGCGGGTTGCTATAGTAACCAATGCGGTGTGGTGTGGTGAATGGTCTGGTGGTATTGAAACTAGTGTGAATAATGCAAATAGCTTTATTAGGGGTGTTGCGGCGTGTAGCGATTAGTGTCTAAGTGATAATAAAACTAGTGTGATATGAAAACTAGTGTGATATTAAGACTAGTGTGATATTAAGACTAGTGTGATATTAAAACTAGTGTGATATTAAAACTAGTGTGATATTAAGACTAGTGTGATATTAAAACTAGTGTGATATTAAAACTAGTGTGAGTATGATATTAAAACTAGTGTTATATTAAAACTAGTGTGATAATAAAACTAGTGTGATATGAAAACTAGTGTGATATTAAGACTAGTGTGATATTAAAACTAGTGTGTTATTAAAACTAGTGTGATATTAAAAACTAGTATGATATTAAAACTAGTGTTATATTAAAAGTAGTGTGATAATAAAACTAGTGTGATATTAAAACTAGTATGATATTAAAACTAGTATGATATTAAAACTAGTGTGATATTAAAAGTAGTGTGATGTGCTTCATCAATGGTGTGTACTACAGAGAGTTGAGTTTGATGTTGAAGTGTTTCGAATGGACATATATGTTGTACATTGACGTAGCCCGACGACACTTGTGTAGTATATTGGAATAGTAAGAGGAGTAAGTAAACGAACAAATACTTGCACACACACAATTGTTTTTTTCACACACACACACACGCACACACACAATATATAATGTATAATACAATATATATATATATATATGTAAATATATATATATATATATATATATATATATATATATATATATATATATATATATATATATATATATATATATATATATATATATATATATATATATATATATATATA